TCCACGAGACATCATATAAAAAGAGCACCTTCATCTTGTTTTCTCTGTGCTGGTTCCGAGTAGCTCTAACCCAGGCATTGTCCTTGGTTCCCAGGTGACGGACCATGCCACCACCGCCCTGCTCCACTACCAGCTGCCCCAGATGCCCGACGTCGTGGTCCGATCCTTCATGGTAAGTGGCTTAAGGAGTCACATCTCCCCCTTGAGCCTTGGCTCCTTAAGTGAGAACAGGCAGCTCGGAAGGTAGCTGGACCGTCTTTAGCTCGCAAGGGCCTCGCAGGGGGGAGACGGTCCAGTTTGGAAATGATACTTCCTTTCAACTGGGAAGAGATCTAGGAGAAACCATGTCCTGCTTAATTAGCTGGTGTTTCCTATCATTGCCGAACACATGGTGGTTTCAGAAGTGACCTTCCAGCACAGTTTCCAATGTTGATTTAGTCAGTAGGTATTTATCGAGCTCCTGATCTGTGCTGGGCCCTGTGCTTGGCGCTGAGCAGGTACCGTGACACCGTTCCTCCAAGACCCCTACTCCTTAGACTTCCAGGTCAGAGCTCAGGATGGGGAGTGACCCAGAAACAGCCATCCCCCCGGTGTGCTGGGGTCGGCTCCCACCAGCTCTCGTTTAATGTTCAGAATTTCTCGAGCTGGTTGTTCGGCCGTCGGTGACTTGACATTGAACCAGAATATTCACGTGCTGGAGATCGGTCCTGCACGTCAGGACTCCCCTCTGCCCCCGGCTCCCACCCCTGGAGCCAATTCATTGATTGATCACACGCCCTCCAGTCCGTCTCAGCAGGGCCAACAACTGGCCCCACCGTATCCTGGCAGACGTGGCCAGCTGTTTCAGCACCACGCTGACGGGGCTTCGTGCTCTCACGTCGCTAGGCTCCGTCTCTCCCTGCCGCTAACGCTCCCATCTCAACTCCGGCCAGTAAGGCTGCCCCATTTCAACTCCGGCCGGTAAGGCTGCCGCATCTCAACTCCAGCCGGTAAGGCTGCCCCATCTCAACTCCGGCCGGTAAGGCTGCCCCATCTCAACTCCGGCCAGTAAGGCTGCCCCATCTCAACTCTGGCCGGTAAGGCTGCCCGTTAGAGAACATACTCAGCAAATGGGCCCGTCAGCAGGCGCTGCTCAGTGCCAACAGCCAGGCGGAGTTCTGCTCGTCCGATCCACCTCGTCACGTTTGCTGCCGCAGTTACGCTTCTAGGAGCCTGTAGTTCATTTCTCAGAAAATACAGCCTGGCTCATTGATGGGCCCACACGCTGGGGAGGTGAAGAAGCAGACCTGGGGCTCAGCGGAGCCGTCGCGCAGGCGCTCTCGTGTAGAGAGAACTGTTGCAGTTGGCTGTCTCTAGCGGGTACTTCCTTTCTGGATGGATCGAAAGACTTGCTCTTTAACCTGACGTGTGGTAATGCCCAGTTCCCCTTTGGTAACTGACTTTGGGGTTTGGGAAGAATAAATAGTTTGACTGAGTGATCCACTGACATCCTCATGTTTATTGCCAAAACCTTGAACCCCAGCCTCTGGAAGGGGGACAGGGTGGGTGAGCCGCGGTCTGCCACCAGGAAGGCAGCTGTGCCGAAGCAGAAGCGTTTGTATCCGTCCACTCGGCCGACCGCCCCGAAGAGCAGTTTCCTCTTGCCTGATTCAGGAGGATGTTAAGTGACAAGATTCGCACACCCCCGTCGCAGTGGGAGCTCGCCTCACTCGCTGGCCTGTCGCTGTGGGCTTGGGTTGGTACGGTTGTGAGTCTCCTTGAGTTTGAGCATTGAGTTATGAGAATCTCATCCTCATGTGTGACGCCCGAAGGACCTCTGCACTCTGCACCCTCCGGCGTGTACTTGCCATTGATTATGTTATGTGGTACCAGGTTGTCCCTGCCCTCCCCCCAGGTGTGTCGGGCCACACTGTGACAGTGAGTGGTGACCTCTGAAATCAGAGCAGAAGGAAGGCACGTTGACCTTAGTGGGGAATTCTCCACTCACCCTCTCTCCGCACGTGTCTGTGGCCACCTCTGGGTGGTGAACAAGGAGAGGATCAGTGCTGACGTTCGGGACTCAGAGGAAATGTGGTCATGCCCCCGCCGGGCCGTGAGGCTGCGCCGTGGTTCGCGGCCGCTCCTCCGGGAGTGCTGCCTGCCTGAAAGTAGGGATTTCTATTTTAAAGTCCCCTTAGTTGGGAGGGGCCCAGGGCGCCAGGACTGAGCATCAGCAGTGCTGTGACCTTGTGGGTTCTGCACAGAGCTTGCTGTAGAATCCCAGGGCACCTCTTGGGGGTCACAGCCACCTCAGGCTCTATCCTGGTGATGGTTAGGCTTGACAGGAAGGATGATGTCCGAAGCACCCGGATCCCATTTCTGTCGTTTCTCTCCTCACTTCTCTTTTTAGACCTGGTTAAGGAGCTACATGAAGCTGTTCCAGGCCCCGTGCCAGCGCTGCGGGAAGTTCCTGCAGGACGGCCTTCCCCCGACCTGGAGGGATTTCCGAACCCTCGAAGCCTTCCACGACACCTGCCGGCAGTAACCCTGCCCCGGCCCCGGGCCAGCCCGCAGACCCCCATCCAGCACCTTCCCAGACAAGCCCTCAGTCACAGCGATGGCTCAGACGTGTCTTTGCGGCCCGGATAGCAGTACCGCCGCCCGCTCGCTTCCACAAAACAGCATGTCGTGCGCTAAGGCCGAGCTTCCTGAAGAGCAGATCCGTCTCTGTTAATGGGACCGTTGTACACCTGAGCTGGCGCGTGGACGGCAAAGGGACCGTCTCAGGACTCACTATAAGGAAGTTAGGCAGCATGTTCTCCCGTGTATGTTCGCAATACTAGTCCATCGACCCGCCTGGATCCATGTTCTAAGTCATTTTATAGTTGGAATGAGCCTTTGTGTCGTGCTCAGTTTTTTGTTTTGTTCCATAACTTATTTTTATAAGCAATAAACCTTTTGTACCCAGGACAAGGCTTTGTCTCCGGTTTCTTAAAGTACCTTTTACGTTCAGTTCCGTGAACATGTGAGCAGATCTGATGGGCCTTTTGAAGGAAAAATAACTTAGTAATGTCTGCGTTTGAAATAATTCTTTTTTTTTTTTTTTTTTTTTTTGCGGTACGCGGGCCTCTCACTGTGGCCAGGCTCAGCGGCCATGGCTCACGGGCCCAGCCACTCTGCGGCATGTGGGATCTTCCCGGACCGGGGCACGAACCCGTGTCCCCTGCATCGGCAGGCGGACTCTCAACCACTGCGCCACCAGGGAAGCCCTGAAATAATTCTTTTTGAGGACACATGTCCCTGTTTCTTGCTTTCGGGAGAGAGGGGAGTGTTGGCAAATATTTCATTTCAAAGACATTTCAGCGGCTTGAAAAATGGATTGTTCTTTTTGAGGGAAAAAGTGCACAGATGTTTCATTTTACTAAACCATTCACACATACATATACCAAAGGGAAAGGACTCTTCCTGTGTTACCAGCCAGAACACGTGTGAGCGGGCGGGACAGGTGTGCCTGGCTTGTTTGTCCCGTTTTGTCCTAAATATTTCCGTGAACAGATTCCAGCCCAGGCTGCTGAGTTTATTCAGGGCCTCGCCCCTGACATTTAAAGCCATAACCTGTTTATATGAAGAAGTGTTGACCTGCTGAAGGTCTTGAGAAGGACAGGGGAGTCCCCAGAGCTTTCCGCAAGCCCAGCCTAGGTGACAAGTAGTGTCCTGTTTGTGGTGAACAGTACCAGAGAGATGCTGCCTTCCGAGGTGTCCAGAAGAATGGGTGGCTCCCACCTGGGTTCTGGTACCACCCAGGCCCTCCACACCTACCCCTGCCAGGCTAAAAAGGCCCAGAGGATAAAGGGGGTTTAGTGATGGGGGAAGCAATAGAACAGTGCCACTCCAAGTATGGTCCAGTAGCTGTGGCATCATGGGAGCTTATTAGGAACGCAAATCCTCGGGCCCCACCATGGGCCGGCTGAATCAGTGACTCTGGGGGTGGGTCTGGCAACCTCGTTGTTAACAAGCCCCGCAGGTGGCTGATACGGGCCGAGTCTGAGAACCACTGGTCTCTCTAGGAGGCGGCGGTGCTTTCAGGGGCCAGTTTGGGGCAGTAGCGTGAGCGGCAGCGTGGTGTAGCGCAGGAACGCTTCCACACAGCGGGTGATTTTAGATTAAACACCAGGGTTTATCACATTTAAGATGCCATCACTTGTAAGATGCACCCCTATTTCATGATCCCCTAAGAAAAGCGTGCTGCCAATTAAACAATGCCACACGCTTTAATGCTAATCCTGTGTGACACATGAATCAGTCACACCAGCCTTTCATCGCCCTGAAATTCCTTTCATGTCTTCCAAGGGGGGTTGCAGTCTCTCCTGCCTCAAGTCTTACTGTCTTAACATGTGACAGGCGATCCCTTCCCAGGGCTCCCGGTAACAGAGCATAACACAGCTGCTTGATACTTGCGGGTATATTTCTTTCTTTGGTCTTGTAAGACACTTGTTTGTTGCAAGAAAATCCCGAATTGAGGACATTGGGTGTATAATCACATTTTGTCGCATGGCATTTAAATGGCAAGTAGGCTGACCCTGTGCAGGACATATGGGTACTCAGAGCTCGTGTGAAGTGACGACAAGGTGAGTTGGGGCATGTGCTGATGACAGGTGCATCCTGACTGCCAGCTGGCTGACAGTGCACATCAGGGAGGTTCACATATGAGGAAACCAGCCCTCTGATGATGGATGGGATTGTGGTAACAGTACACCACATCGTAAGAGAGCTCTGTTTCCAATGGAGAGAGAGCAGACCTTGAGTTCAGAGCCGTGGGCAGGCAGTGGTTTCTACTTAGACTGAGTGACATTATTCCTATCCTCTCTGCGTCATTTTCAGTGATACCTACTCTCTGTGGCCACTGATGCTTGTTCCCCATTTACAGGCATGATAAGAAGCTTCCATGTTAAACTAAGGCACGTAGGCGAAAAAGTGAGACTATTAGAGAAAAATACTAAATAATCGCACACGCCAGAAGCTAACACAGCATCGTAAATGAACTATACTTCAATAAAAAATAAACAAATAAAGGAGAGCACAGGTAGTGTAGCAACAGCAAAAAGTGCGAAGGGCGTGCCTGGGCCAGGGCCTCAACTCTGGCCGCCTACTCTCAGCTGTAGCACTCAGACAAGTCGCTCGTCCTCTATGAGACCTCGTCCCCTCTCCCGCAAGACGCCCGGCTGATGGCCCAGTGATGGCAAGGCAGGAGAGTAGGAGGGGGCGGAGGGCTTGTAGACGAAACATGATTGGCCACGAGCAGATAATGACTGAGGCTGGACATTGGATAGGTGGGTGATGCGTGCTACTCTTCTATTTTTTTTTTTTAACTTTCCCTCATTAAAAGGGGAAAAAATATAAGGGTCAGGCTATCAACCTTTAGGGCGTTCCCCCCTTTGACCTTCTCCTTCTTCAGTGCTAAGTGGGGGAAGCTGAAAGGGAGGGGGTTGGGCTCTGGAAAGGTGAGAGAGGGGCCGGAGGGTGAGAAGCTTGTTCACCAGATCCCCGAACACCCGGTGCCTAACAGACACCCATGAGAGAGCCTGGCTTTGTGTGTCAACCGTTCAAATCTAGAGAACATGTTGACCTGAGATGGGCAAAAGTAGAGGCTGGAGGTGGGTTGGGATCAGTTCCACGATGTGGATTGGGGGGAAGCTGGGACCTAATGCTGCTGTGGGCATAGCCACTGGGTCTGGAACCATCCTCTGGTACCCCTTACAGAAAGGAGCATGACCATCAACGGGTGTGCCAGGCCCCCATTCCTGAGACTGTGCACGGGTGAGCCCCAGCCAGGACGACGAGGTATTTTAGTGACTTAATTACCACCCTGACAGCTCAGCATCTCCTCTGTGCCAGGCGCTTTCCATATGTTGTCTGCTTTACTCCCAGGTGGGTTCGTACTGTTCTCTCTGTTGTGTGCTCGAGGCCTGGAAGGCCTGGGTATCCCGCTGCCCGCGTCGTCGAGCTCCATGGCTACTCAACAGCAAAGCTGCCTCCCCAGAAGCAAAGGGACTAACCAGTCCCTGCTCTGCCGAGTGTGTTGTGTCAAGAATTGCCTGAGAAGCACTCGGCCCGAGCTTGGAAACCTCTGTCTTACAGACGCTTCCCTGCCAGGATAAGCAGCGATGCACCTACCCCGTACTTTCTGCCGGCCAGGTTCCTGTTAATCAGCAGGGCGCCCGTTAGGAACTGACAGAATGGAATGAGGAGGGCCGTAAAAGGTTGTCCAGATTTTTTTTCCCGCACTAAATCGGGAATTGGCCTTTTGGTATCGAGTGATGTTTTTACACTTCACACTCCTGACGGAAAGCTGCAGGCACAAAATGATGATCTTTCAGTGTTAATGTGCAAGCTCTCCATCGCATTTAGAGTGTCAGAGTGTGGGCCTGATGCTATATCGAGAGCCTTTTAAGGTCACCCGAGCTGGGAGGAGGAGAAGGGATGGCGACTTCAGCCGCCAGGATTCTCACAAGGTCCCGAACCCCCGCCGACTCGATGGGAGGCGTCTTGGGGCCGTCGGGTCTGCAGACAGAGGACAAAATCTGACGACCCACCTTGCTCATCGGTGCCTCGCAGCGTCTGCATCCCCACTGGCGTGCCGAAGTTGAGCGGTGGGGCTTCCACTGTCCTGCCTTCGACAGGGAAGGGTGGGCCAATTCCGCTCCACCTGCTTCTTGGGGTGCAGCTGGCAGGGCTGGTCTACCGCAGCCAGAGCTCATTCAAGGGCACACCATATGTGCCTCAGAGATGGGCCTGTGCAAGGCGTTCGTGGACAAACCTGTCCTCCAGTTGGTCTGCTCGGGGAATAATTGGGCTTCACTTTCTAGGACAGGCAGGTTTTTCTCGCCATCTCTGCCATCCTTCCCCCATTCTCATCCCCACCCCCGCTCCTTGAATCCATGGAAGGAACCTCAAAACATCACTCCCAAGTTGCATTTTAAACTGCTGGTTGGCTGTTCCCTATCATTAGTACTCGAAGAGGTAAACAAACCTTCAGGTTCACAGGCACATCCCAGGTAGAGCATCGTCTTGGTAGCTTTTAGATGATTAGTTACTCAAGAACAGCTTCAGCCTGTCTCTGTGCTAATGAAGTTTGAAATTCCAGCTGCACACTGGCTGTCCTTGGGGACGGTGGGAGCGGTGGCTCGGTGCTAACTGAACAGGTGGGTCCTGCCACCAGTGCACTTCGTCTGCATCATGGGTCCCCCAGCTTGATAGAGACAAGAGAGTGAAGTGTCCCTCTGGCCAAGAAGGTACAGGGAAGGTAGGGGACGAGGGGGGCGATGAGGGGAGGGTGGGGGACAGTAAGAGGCCATGAGCTTGCGAGCCAGCCTGGGCCGCCAGCAAGCTCCACCAGCCCCCCACCTGTGGGGTGGGTCGTTACTTAACGCGTTACTCACCCTTGTCTAGTTCTTGGCCGTCATCTCGATCGCAGCCTCGCTTTCTTAATTCCAGAAGGAATACATGTGTTTCTTTTATAGAAAATTAGGTAATGTGGACAAGCAAAGAAGATAATACCCGTCATTCCCACTAGCGAGAGACAATGACCAGAGCGCTTCGGTGTATACCTTTCCAGACCTTCCTGTGGACGTGTTGGTGCATGCACATTTTTTGTAAAAAGCAGATCGTACTGCGTACTGTTTTGAAACCTGCTTTTTTCCGTTTAGCAAAGGCTAAGTTACTCCAACACAGAGGCCCCAAAACAGTGGCTTAAAGAGTATAGACACTTACTTGTCTTCCACTTCAGCGCCCCAGAGGAAGGGAGTGCTTCAGACCCCAGGGCTGCTCTCCTCCACGCGGTCACTCAGGGAGCCTGTCCCTCCATCGTCTCACCCACGTGACCTAGGACGTGGTCTGCGTGGTGGAAGCTGAGTCACAGGCACCTTCTGAGTTCACAAAAAGGGAAAAACGCACAGGTGTTGTAAGACCAGACCCAGCACTGGCATGGATCAGTTCCACTTGACCTTCCTTAACAAGAACTTAGTCCCATGGCAGACCTGGCTGCAAGGGCTGCTGGGAGGGTGCAGTCTCCAACTGGGCACCTGTGGGTCCGGCGGAAACCCTTGTCCTGGAAGAGAAGGGAGCAGCCTCCGCCGAACAGCACGCCCTCCTGTGTCAGAAGCGTGAGCGGTGATGCTGCCCTGAGGGTTTTGTGTTCCTTGTCTCATCCGTCCTTGGGTTTTGTGTGGGGGTGGCCTTCCACGCTTTGATGACCATAATTTAGGCAATGAATCTCTCCTGGATGTTTAGGTTTTTATTTTGAAATAATTATGGATTCACAGGAAGTTACCAAGGCACGTATAGGGGGGTCCTGTGTACCCTTCACCGGCCTCCCCCAATGTCAGCGTCTTGCACGACTGTAGTATCAATACAATGTTCAAACCACGAAGTTGACATTGGTATGATGCATAGAGCTTGCTTGGATTTCGCCAGCTGCACGTGCGCTCATTTATGTGTCTGTGTGATTGTGTGTCTGCGTGCAGCTCCATGCAGTTTTATCGTGTGTGTAGCTTCGCGGAACCACCACCACCATCAAGATATCTAGCCGTACCCTCCCTGCAAGACTCCCTCATGCTACCGTTTTCAAACGACACACGCCTCCTTCCCCATGCCTAACCCCTGGCCACCCCGTAAGCTGTTCTCCGTCTCCAGAATGATTTTATTTCACGAATGTTATATACATGGAATCCTGCCGTATGTATCCTTTTGAGGTTGGCTTTTTTCACTCAGCATAATTTCCTTGAGGCTCATCCCAGTTGCCGTGTGTATCAGTAATCCATTCCTTTTAGTTGCTGAGTAATATTCCAGTGGTTTCCACACCTTGTTTAACCATTTATCCACTGGAGGACGTTTGGTTGTTTCCAGTTTGTGGCCATTATCAGTAAAGCCGCTGTGGACACTCGTGTACAAATTTCTGCATGAAAATAAGTTTTCATTTCTGTGGAATATATATGCCCATGAGTACAATTGCTGGGTCATGTATTAAGTCCATCTTTAGTTTTAAAAGGAAATGCCAAACTGTATCATATTACATGGACACCGGCAGTGTGTGAGTAATCCGGTTTCTCCACGTCTTTACCAGCCTTTGGTGGTGTCACTGTTTCTTATTTTGACCATTCTGATAGGTGTGGAGTGACACCTCACTGTGTTTTTTACTTGCATTCCTCCAGTAGCTAATGATGTTGAGCAGCTTCTCATGTGCTTCTGTACCATCTGGGTATTGTCTTAGGTGCACTGTCTGTGCATGTCTTTTGCACATTTTCTAATTAGATTGTTTTTAAATGCTGAGCTCTGAGAGTTCTTTATATATTCTACGTATGAATCCTTGGCAGGCATGTGATTTGCACATATTTTCTCCCAACTGTCACTTGTCTTTTCATCCTCCTAATGGGGTCTTTTGCAAAGCAGATATATTCAGTTTTGATGAGGTCCAATTTATCAGATTTTTTGATCATGGGTTGTGCTTTTGGTGTTGAGTCTAACCTGCTGGGTTTCAGATGGTTGTTTTGCTGTAGTGATCATTGTTGCTCGCCCTTCCCTCCCCCCTCCCCCCTCCCTGCCTCCCTCCCCCACCCTTCTCTCTCCCTCTCTCCCTCTCTCTCTCTCTCTGGAGGTCCCCCCCACCCTTCCATCTCTCTCTGTCTCTGCCTCTGTCTCTGTCTCTCCCCCTCTCCCAGCAGGGACCTTAGCTGCCTTCTCGTTCAGCCTATTAGACAGTCACTCAGGGCGTCCAAGGCCTGCAACCCTGTTCCTCACTCACCCAGCAGGTCAGTGACAGCGTGAGGACCAGAACGGAACTCCCTCAGTCAACGTGATTTCCGCTTCCCCAAAACTCTTCTCGGAAAAACACTTGAACTGCAGTGTCAAAAGGAAATAGATCCCGCTACAGCACAGCGTCTTAAAAGAAAGCGTTGGCAGTGACAGACTTGGTTCACCGCTCGGCCTGGGCCCCGGAGAGCAGTGCTCTGATACAGCCCCTCTGCCAGGAGTGATCTCATATCAGGGCTTTTCGCCCTCCCTGTCATGGGATGGCAGTCGGGCAGCATCCTGCGGTCAGATGGGCAGCTGGGGGCCGAGTCCCTAGCACTTACCCAGGCCTGTGTGAGGTTGCTAGGTGAATATGGGAGAGCTTCCTGGGGGTGACGCCCACCCCCATCACAGCTGCCACCCTGCAGACGGCCGAGCCACCCAGACCGCACACTGATGGCTCTGTTGTGGGAAGGGGACAGGGGGGGGGCACAGAGATGTGCCGGGTGCAGGAGCTGTGTGCCTCAGCAGATCGCCCACCCCTTTCCCGTGACGCACTCAGCACCCCTCCCTCCCAGGCAGGACCCCACGTGCCCAAGGATGCCCAGAGTTAGTGTTAGGGTCCCTCCCCCACAGGCTCCTGGGGGCCCACGCTCAGGACAGGGCTTGTCATCACCCCAGCCTCATGCTTGCTGTCACCTTCCTCTGGGAGGACACCATCCTCAAACATGGCAGGGGGAGGGCACCGGGCTGGGGCGTGGAGAGAGCCTCCAACGTGGAATCCTTTTCAGGAAGCGCCAAATGTTCCCACCTCCTGGCCTCTGGGTTGTTCTCTGCCCAGACATCCTGCCTCCAGAAAGCCCCATGGTTTGCTCTTTTTTTATTTTTCCAGTTATTAATCATAGGCTCACCCAACCTATTTCCTCTTCTTAAACACCCAGCCAAACAATTTCCTGGGCCCCTTGCCTCTAAGTGGGGCCGCGGAACATGAACAGAAGAGGCAGCTAAAAGAAGATGCGCATTCCCCATGCTCTCTCTTCCTTTTCTGAGGCACCATCAGCAGTGACACGTGACAACAGTAGGGTTAGATGATGGAAGGACTCTGAATCCCTGAGTCACTGCCTGGAGGCGAGCTGCCCCAGCGAGCCACCCAGCCAGGAGCTTCTGCGGTGGATTTTGTGTGAGAGAAGTAAACTTCTAAAGCTTTTATTGTGTTACATCACTGAGATTTGGGGTGTTCTTTTTACAATAGGTGCTAGCGTCATTTACCCCACACATCATACAGATACACTGGAAACAATGCCACAGACAGTAAGTTCTTTTTAGACGGTAGAGGTTACTGTTTCTCCTGTTCCTACCTGAGCTTGAGTCCGAGTCATCTTTCACTTCAGTTAGAAGGGGGCACACAGAGCGCCGGCTCAGGCTGTTCTCTTGTTCTCCCAGGAGGAGCAACCGTATCAGACAGGCCTTCCTGGCCGTTCGCTAAAAGCGTGGGCATTCCATGCCTCCCTGCCCCTTTCCTCTGCTGTTCAGAGTGCCCACCACACTGGACATTAGTTGTTTGTTTATCTTGTCCACGCCCCCTACAAGAGGGTCCGCTCCATGAAGAAGGAACCGTGTCTGTCTAGGGCACTGCCCTGTCCCCTTGCACACAGTAGGTGCTTAATAAATATTTGCCGAAAGTGGAAAGGAATGAGAAAGCCAGGCTCAGGTGTCTTCTCTGCTCCTAAGTAGGTGACCGCGGGCCGCCACTTGATCCCTCTGAGTGTGGGTACTTCGTCTGTGAATGGGGCCAGTGACTCTGGCCATCCAGTGCAGAAGTCCTGTGAGCGATCACACCAAATAGCACACAAATTTATTGTGCACCTACTGTGTGCAGGTGCTAGGCGCCAGGGATGCCGTTCACATGGCAAACGAGAAAGGGCCCGACAGTGAAGACAGCTTTGTCAGGGACATCCATTGCAGGCGCAGTGAGTTTGTTCTGGGGCAGTGGCCACCCAGGTGGGCCTGTTCCATCTTCTGCCATGGCCTTGGTCTCTCTTTGCTTGCTCTGAAGAAAATATTCAGAGCAAGGAATTCAGAGGGTAGGCGGCAACCCCAAGGGAGGGCTTCCCCTCTGTGAAGCAGCCTCAGCTGTGCATCAAGGTCATCTTTTAAGCACAAGAGATTTAAAATGCCATTTGGAAAGCGGAAGTGCTCAGAAGAGAATGTCAGGGTCTCGGGACACCGCCCCGTTTCCCGATCCTATCTGCATTTCTGTGAAACGGGCCGCATCTCCCTGCCTTGATTAGAATCGAGTCCCTTTCTTGCCGTGGCCTTTTGATATTTGACTTTGCACTCGATGCCCCTAAAGCTAACACACACTGGCCTTTCATTTCCAAAGGGTAGTTGGTCGTATTAATGATCGCCAAAAGGCCATAGTTAATTTGCTCTCCTACCTGTTCCTTTCCATTAGTTTGCAAACCAGCAAAGTTCAAGAAAACTTCTGAGCATGAAAGAGTAGGGATCTAATTAGGAAGCAGGCAGGTAGTTATAAAACTTTTTAGAACTTAGGGGCCATAGCCGAAGGATGTTTGGGAGATCATACCAGCAAGAGACACTGAATACTGTGTGAGCCAGTCCTAGCCGTGGGCCTGACACACAGGGGCCTGGACAACCTGTAAGTGGGTGAATTGTGACATGTTTAGCCTGTCTTCAGCCTCAGTGAGGGACGCCAGGCCAGGCCATCTGCTCAGGTCAGGGAGTGCCATACCTGGACTGCAGGGGAAGGGCTGAAGGTGACAAGGGACAAGGGCGGCCCTCCAGCTGCCTCCTTTCTCAGGATATACATATGCATGATGTGAGGCAAGTGGGATAAGATGAGTCTAGTTCGGTCGCCCACACTGAAGGTGTTTCATTGCTGAACCTTGTACCTGGGCCTCAGCATCTCGAAGTTCAGCACCTCACTGCATAGAGGCTGTGGGTTCTCAGAAGCCACAGCCTGATGACTGAGTGCCCCAGGCAGCCAAGTGCCTGTCAGGGATGCTGTCCTACCACGAGCCGCATTTGTGCGTGGGGAGCACGTGACCACAAGAATCCAGACACCATGGTGGTGTCACCCTTCTTGGGATACAACGGGAGCTCGCCTTGCCTCTGGGGAACCAACCCCTGACGCCTCCCATCAGTCCATGTGCTTCAATTAGATTGTCTCTCATCAGTCTGCCCTTCCCCACCCCCACTCCAGGGGAAGGAAGTCCTGGCCAATCTTAGTATCAGATACACACACAGTCCTACTGTGATTGGTTCAGGGGTGGGCACGTGCTCTAACCCCGCCAAAGACACACAGTT